GGAATTTGTTGCGTAAAAGAGCAAGTGTGTTACGCTAAAGTTCAAAGATCTAGTCATAATCTAGAAATTTGTCATGATATGCTGTCTTATGTAAATGTTAAAGTTATACTGCTGCAATTTAAGTGATTGTGGATTAACTGGAAACTGTTACTTTATGTAAAATTTGAAAGTGTAATACAATATTGTTTTCAATTATCACCTCACCAGTGTTGACAAAACGCAGTGCATTAGGCAAACTACTATAATAACACCTGTCCATGGAAAAAAACAACAACAAAAAAACCAAAACTCAAAAGCACATGACATAAGTCCATTTCTTCCAAAGTGAAAGGGCACGGAACTGCTGTTCTCTGACATGTTTTAGTAATGCCTGCAACAAGGCATTCTGGTCAGGCTGAACACTTAGCATGAGTTCAACAGAGTGTGTGTGTGCCGTCTCCCACACCAGATTGTGGTAAAAGGGAACAGTCACATGAATGTGATCCATGCTCAGGCTAAGACTCAGGCCCTAATTATATGGGAAAAGAGTGTGGTGTGACAGCTATGGTGGGGATTGCGGTTGTGTCCTAAGAGACTACAGCTGACCCTGTGGAGAAAGTGAAGCAGGGAAAGTGGGAAAACATAAAAAGACGGCATTAGGAGAGCAAAGAAGTGCAGACATGGAAGGCAGAGAAGAGGCGATAATAAATATAAATGCATAAAATGTAAGGGGAAAAAAAGAAAGATTTATAAGAGAAGTGTGCGTGTTTGTGAGAAATAATAGGTAGTGGGGTTAACAATGGAGTCGGACTGTCCTATGTGTTGCTGCTGAGTAAGGCTGGAGGCTTAGAGAAAGGATTTAAAGAGCCACAGCAACACCACAAAGCACCATGGGGAAGGGGCTTGCCTGGCAGGGGCCAAGGGAGGGAGAGCAAGCAGAGAGAGAGGCGGGCTGGATGGAGCGGCTACTCTGATCAGGATCCATTTCCAGCCTAGGCCCTGGAATTCCTTTGTTCCTGTCACAGGTCTCCGTTTCCCTCTTGCCTTAATCCCAGCCTCCCTCACGCCCAGTAACATAGAGCAGGGCAGGTAACTAAACCACGCAGCCATGCTTTTCTATTTACAGACGAGTTCCCCACATAATAGTTGCTAATATAAATAGTAATAGCTGACGTTGCATTACAAACCAACAAAGTGTGTTAAATCAGACCGTCACCACTTAATGACATTTGATAAAAAGTCTGCCTCAAGAGAAGCATCACAGTACTAAGCAGAAAGGTTTGCATCCAGGCCGAACACTCTTCAAAATGATCCCAAGCAACACGTGCACTGCTTTGTATATTTGCACAGAAAATGTCATATGCTACTACAATCCTATCCTAATTAGAAACTCACTGTTGGGCTGTAGATCTTGAAATGCATGGTTAAGTCAAACAACAGTTAAATCAGAGCTGAGTAAAAGTGAGCCATCTCCCTTCTTGTCCCTGAACATCCTCCGCAGTCTTTATTGGAAGGGAGATGGTCATTCGTAAACACATTCTCCAGCAGTAAAGCTATCCAGCAACACTTGTGCTTTTCCCGCATTGGCCGTGTCCAGGCTGCCTTAAGCCCCCTTCATAGGCCTGCCAAAAGGAGTCAGTGGTACACTGTGCAGCACTCGCAAAGCCCTCTCCCACGGCTATTAGTGACCATTCATCTGGGGAGCCTGGGAAAATGCCTCTCCAGCCTGCCGTGGCCATGGGGAAACAGGCTGGCAGGTGTTCCCTCCCTCTAAGCCCTGGCACCTGTGCAGGGAGAGGAAGAAGGAACCAGCTCATGGGTTCAAACTGACTCTAGGTACCATTTTGCCACAGTGCCTCTAAGTCCTCCGACTGGTAGCAGGACTCCAAATGCCAGGTTAAACCACACCTGAGCTCTGCCTCACATAGGCAGATCAGTGTGCCTATTTCAATACCAATGGTAGACAAAAGACATCTGGCAATGTACTTTGGGAAGTTGAAATGGCATGTTAACTAAACCCATGTAAAATGGGACTTCTCAGTTTACACTATACCCATAGACACATACATATTGCTATTATGGTCTACAAAATCAATATCCTCTTGAGTGGAAACAGTATGAGGCAAGAAAGTGCAGTATCATATTTAATTCGGTAAAGGAAAAGGAAAAGGAAATACAGTAGGTGGTGTATGGCAATCTTTTAGACAGTCTGTATGTTTTTCCAAGTCTGTATGTTTTTAGGCAGCATGATGATCAAGATATTAGCATCTGTCATGAATTTTCATGAATGTTATTGTGGATAGTCTTTGTTGTAGCGTATAACCACCAGCTTCTTTACTCGGTTAACATTTTGAATGACAAAAATGTCATTGAGAACACAGAGAACATATTATGCACTCATTTTCATTTTGTAATTACTATGAGAAATGTGGGTGTGTTGAACACGGTCTACCAGTGAGAATGCATGAGGCCTCACTCATCCTCCCCTTCCCTGGACTTTTAAAGTCTACCATGTCCATTCTGCAAGTCCAGAGCCAAAATGCTTGGTGGGAAAAGTTCCCTCTGTTCATCTCTCTAAAAACATAAATAAATCACATCACTGTGAGCTAATCACGAAGTCTCAAGTAGCCTGTATAAAAAAAACGAGAGGGGTGGGGGGCTGACAGTTGGAATTGGCTTCTGCAGCTGAGATTTGTAGAAATGGCTTAGATTTATGTTGACAGAAGACATGAGATAAGCCGCTCTCTGACTTGTTCACTGGGTGCTATACACACACATATGCATTCAGCACAGCGTACATACATAAATACCATAACTCACAGAAAGAAGTCCGATACAGACACTTGTGCTGAAGAGTCTTGGAATGCTAAAAGCTGTTGATGGCTCATTTGAAGTGCCAACAGCTGAGACTGTACGCCGTTCTTACTGCTCTCTGTTGGCGGAAGTCCCTGTGATTTTACACGGGCACCAGCTCAAACGCCGCCTCACACAAGACCCACAAGCCCCCTCCCGCACCATCCCACACATAGCGCAACGGTCCATCTGCCTATTCTTGGCGTAGACATCAGTACTATCCTGCCTGACACCTTTCTCTATATGCAACTACATGCATGTGCACATGTTTCGTCACATGTGGCTCACCCCTTGATATCCAGGACCATCCTGCCATCAAACATAAAACAAACAGATGCAAGCAGGTCCTCTGCTAAAACAAAAAACAATCTCACCAACAGTCTGAAAGATTAATATCTACCTCCACTGCTGAATGGATACCATCAATACTTAATACCCATCCTGTGGTTTGCTGGGTTTCCCTCCCTTAGCCTATAGTCTGTCCTCCCCTTTTTTATGGCTCCTGCTTGCATGCTCACTTCTCACAGTCACAGCCTCAGTCTTTACTGCTCAGCCACCTCCCTCACTTGGGACAATGAAAAGCCCAAGAATGTCATTACACTCACTTAAGACCTTTAATAGGACTAGAGAACATGAACTGTGTAGGCCTGTTTGAGGCACTATACCTTTTCATGTTGTAAGAGGGGAAAATTCTCTGATATGCTATGGAGTCATGTTCCACTGGTTACATTCTTTGTGGTGAAGCTGCAAGGGGCTTAATCATTTTTACATGCATATTTCACTGCTGAAATACTGATAGTCCCCTTGTTCACACTCTAAACTGTGCACAACCATTTGGGGTGTGTGTGTGTGTGCGCGCGCACGTGGAGCCTTAGTCTACGATCACCATCATTAGACATGTCTGTCTCTCGTCAGTCTGTCATGGGAAATATGAGTCAGGCTTTTCAGTAACCTTACACTGTGAGCCTGTTCACACCTAACCCAGGGGGAGGATATGTGTCTCAAACACACTGTACAACTTCTGATTCACACTCTTTCTGATGCATATGAGCACCTGTGTGCACGCATTGTCGTACTATATCAGGACTATATGGACAGAAAGTTGAAAAATGTGTACATATACACTACGTGTGAAAACTACAAAAAGGTGGTAGGACTAAGTGTGTGTGTGGGAGGTAGCGTGAGAGGCAGAGCTACAGCCGCAGGAGAAACTTTATGGGGCCGACTGCCCTGTAATCCCACTCTAACAGTCAGGCTTGCCCCGCTGAGAGAGCCCAGTTTAACTGCCCTTAACTGCTACCTGTGACAAAACCTGTCTGTCTTACACCACACAGCTGGAGGTTCCTCTGATGCTTTATAGGTGTATAGTGCTTCAAAGGCATGCATGTGGATGGCTGGGGGAATGTATCTTTTCTGCATAAACAGGGACAAACTGAATTGACTTATGTAAATTTGTGCATAATTTATTGATATTTACTGTACATACTTTTTTGTGTCACAGCAGCTGGTTTTTGATGTTATCGTTTAACTACAGGTGCAGATAAACTCAGACTAGCCAGTGGCGCATTAAACAGAATGATAATAAACGTCAGAAGTTTTAATGAATATGCGTCTTGCGCATACAAATGCACCTGAGACCTGCCAAGTCAAACACCACAACACAATATGAAAACTCCTATCAGCTCTTGCCTTTACAGGTCACACCCTGGGCGTAGGGAACCACCATGCCCCAACTAGTTCTGTTGTCTTTTCACCCACTCAACAAGGTAGCCGTGAAATGCTTTCCTGTAACTTTGTTTTGTAACCCAATTTGCATTCTGCGTACAGACTTCAACAGTCTGCTTTGTTTGAGTAAATATGCTACTGCGTTCAAAGCCAAAGAAAACCATTTTACTTATCCAAGAATTAACGACAGACACGCCTAGGAGAAGGAAAGGGAAGACGTAGATGACTTCATCAGAATGAGCAACAATGATTTCAAAACAGAATAAATACAACTGGCGCATGACAATTAAAACCAGTGCTGGAGGAAAATGACTGAAAAACACAGTGTTGTGCTAAATAATGGATTTTAAAGCACTAAATTATATAAACTGATAAACACTGGAATATTTGCCGCTAGATTAAACAATCCAGTATTAACGAGGGTCGGGATAATGGGGTTTTACCTTTCACAGAAAAGGCTGAAGCTGATGCCAGCTCCTTCTTCTGTTTGGGCTGTCTTCTATTGTGGAGGAACTCGGTATACTGCTTAACCCTCTGGTCCACAGAATCTTGAACCAGGGTTGTAACCTCCTAAAAACACATATTTAATGTATGTAAAGTAAACATATGTTGAATTGGTAAGAGAACACAAGATTTGATTTGGCATAACAAGTAAAGTTTAAAGTTCAGATGAGGCAAAGATGATTACTGAAATTCCACATGTGGCTGAGAGGGAGATGGGAACAGTTCTCCAACAATGAAAATAGACGAGGCTCAGAGTCATTTTAGATTCTACGCTGCTGCTGCCTTTTGAAAAGGTCTCCAGCAGGAAAGACGCCATGTATTCCCTTTCACACTTAATAACAGCCACGCCCATCTCCCCGTGTCTGTACCTCGATGTGGCTCGTAGTGAACCAGCTAGTGTCCTCTTGGCCGCCCAGGGATAGAACGTGGAGATCCACCAGCACAGCATAGTTCCCACACTGTAACACAAAGAGGAAGGATAGCCACAGGTTGCTGAGGGGCATTGAGCTCACAGGCAACAAAGGGAATCAAAGTGCGGGTGATTGACAGCGAGACAAACCACAACGACCCCCTGTGTCCTCAAACATCACCCCAGGCCTCTCACAGCAGTCCGCTCCCTCCTTTTTCTCTGTCTAGCCATCTCCCTACCAATCTCTTTACAAAAAGTATGGCCCCGTTTGTCTCCTCATATTTCCCCTCACTCAGCGTAAATTATATCTGCAATACAGTGCCTAAGGACAGAGTAAGCTACAGGAAAATCTAAAGATGTACCATAAAAATGAGGATTATTATCCCAGTTTATATCAGAGAGGTAATAAAACCTTGTTTTTTTGTGTGTGTTGTAGAAAGAAAGGAAAAGAGCAGCAGGGTGGATTCCTGAAGCACTATGTCCTTGTGACAATAAGCAATAAGGGACAAGGAGGCCAAAAGTGCCGCTGCTGTTTAAGTTGCTGTTACATCTTTCTCAAGCTAGCCTGATTATGGTTTACACATGAGTGCAAAAGCTGCCCTCTGCAGAGAGCAAATGGATGTGAGTCTCGTGTGAACTTAGCCTCTCCATGGTCAAGGAAGTAATGGATGGACTGAGACCACCCACAACATGACACAGTGGAGCAGCGAGTACTAAAACCCAGAGTGATAATGCGGCAAAAAGCATTCATGAGAATGACGGTGCAAAAACACTAAGGTCACGAAAAGCCAAAACCAGACACTGACCTGAGGATCACATTGTGGAACTTGAAGAGTGTGTAACAAGAGGAGAAGGATCACTGGATCATTCAGTAACAGGGGAAACTGGTGCACACTGAAAGCTTTGTTTTTAAGCAGGCACATCCTCTGGGCTAGTGTTAAAGCATAGTATTATAGACAAGATGACTAAACTGTACAATCCAGCATGCTCTCAGCATGACGTGAGAGACCTCATCCCGCAGGGGTATAACCGTCTACTAATGTTCTAACTCTGGACACAAATGTACACTTCGAACTCATACTTTTTCCAGTTGTCTCTTTCTTTTGTTAGTTAGGACTTAGCTTAGCTTGCTCATTAAAGTACTGCATTGCTTCTCAACTGGTAAAAGTAAAGCTTGGCTGTGAACCTTTCATCAAATGTTATTAAAGGCTACATGTGAGCAAATCAGCCTGCCAAATACTCTGCATTATTTTCCCCTTGAGAGCATTATCCTCTCTCGTTCTTTCTGTATTATAATAACTGAAGTGAATCTGCTTTCTTATTTCCACAGCTAAACGAGTGCAGAGGGTGCCCCCACATGACTGATAAGTGAATCTTTCTTGTTCGTTTTAATCTCAGACATGTCTTGTAGTATTGAGTATGTGCAGCCCTACAGCATTAATGCATGCCAATTCATGTTAAAGTACTAATGCAAGTCTAAATGTTAAAATACACTTACAAATGGAAAACTGTTTAAAAAATAAAAACAGAGTGTACAAAAAAATACAGAAAGGTTCTTATACAATAGCATGCATGCACAAAGAAAAATGAACCCCACGGACCAGAACGGAGCCCCATTTAATGCCAGCTCCTCATGTTTAAATTGTGTGCATGTTGCCTGTCAGTATCAGCTCGTCCCTAAAGATCAGCATTCTCTTCATCTTTTGACCTTTGTCTCACAGTTGCGCACCAATGACTGGTGGCCTCCTACAAATACCCATGTGTGGGAAAACCTAGCAACAGAGGGTCAGACCCTGTCAATCAAAACACAGAGACCAGCTAGTGGAGATGACACATGCAGACTGGATTTTTTGGTATACTGGTTCCCGACTTCTAAGACTTAACTCTTTTCACTGCGTACAAGTTACCAGATTATCCAGTCTAACCACCCTTTGATCCTTACGATCTTTAGTTTTTACTGATAATGTGCAAGACAAATGTTCAGTTGACACTTGTCAACATTTTTGTGGCTACTGGACTTGTGCACTTTTTCTGTTTTCACAAAATCTTACAATCATTGAATTAGATGGCTCAAAATCACACAGTCTCATGTGTGCTGGCAGAGACTGAACCTGACCAGCGGTTATCTGTCTGCTCAGCTGTGTTGACCTCAGAAAGGACAAAATATCATGCAAACTTTTTTGCAATCACAAAAAAGTGTGATGTCACACTTAATTTGCTAAAAATATGCAATCAGTATAGGGTTCAGAGGGAGATCGTTATAGAAAAGCACAGCATTGTAAATCCCCTGACGTGGTTTCTGTGCTTCTGAGTGAGTGTCCTTTGGGCTGCCAGCCAGACAAGTATCAAGCTTTAGACTAACTTCTTTTTATCACATTAGAACAGCAGACAAGGCTCGACTGGGAATTGGAAGTTAATGATAAACACTGGTCTGCCCTTATACAAAAACAGCATGTGATTCTGCCAGATTCTCGGAAACGGGGGATTTTGTCAGGAATGCAAACTAATGCAATCACCCTAATGAGAAACCAATTAATTTGCCCAGCAAAAGTGCCAGTTTGGTAGAGAGACAAATTACCTGCAAAAGTATTGATATCTTGGCCAACGCTGTGCTGCTTGGGCACTAGAGCTACTAGAGCTTTTTACAAGGGACATTTATGTTGAATGTCGCAGACAAGACAAAATAGCAGCAGAATTTGGCATTTAATTTAATTTTGCACAAAGGCTCTGAGTACAATCACATCATGTGGCCTAAATTTGTCAACTCCCAGCACAAAGAGTGACCAGTGCATCTCTTGGCTGAACTATGCCACGAACCATAACCTTCGTGTATGTTGATTTATGTTTATTTATTGATCTTTTTAAAGTGAGATCTTCACAAGGAGTAGTATACTTTTTAGATGCAGCGATGAAACCACAAGTTTCCTCTCTCTCTCTCTCTTTTGTTTTTTAGAAAACACAGTAAAAGGGCAACAGAGAATTTAGCATCACCCCATTAGTAAAAACTCCATATTTTATTCTTTCTGTGACAGTTTCTACCATGTCATACTCAGGACCCTAAGGGTTTCATTAAATGTGACATATTCACTGATGAAACTGAAGAGCTATTTTACGTTGTGACACATTTAAGGAAATACTCAGAGCTTCTGTCACTGTTGTTGTAAAGGAACAGTTTGATAAAGGGCCAAGTTCAAGAGGAAGTTACTCTTTTCATACATACTAAAGTGGGCCAGCACCGCTTTGTTCTCTGCTTTGCTCGGGCTTTAGAGTTATGAACAGAGGCTGAAGGCTGAACGAGAGGCGGCAAGAAGCGCTACTTAATCCCAAATCCTTTATTGTGCCATCTTTTGTGGTCTGCTGTCACATATTGAATAGATAGGACCGAGTCTTCCTGCAGGCTAAGGCTCAGCTTCTCTATCCCAAGTCTCCCTGCTTCTGAACCGATAACTTGTGTGGGGGGAAAAAGGTTAACCAAGAGAAAAAAATCCAAAAAAGCAGACACTAAACCTGCCCACAGCCCACAGCACAACACAAGAAAGGTCCTCTCTATTTTCTGCCTGTAAATAAACACATCCCGATGACTCTTTTACTTTCTCTCGTCTGCAGAGCTCTGGTCTATGTCACACTCAGTTCCCAAAACACTCTTTACCTTCCCTTATCTCTCTCCCAGACCCAGATCTCCAAACCTCCTGCCTGCGCTGCTCAAACTTGGGCACGGAGCCCAGCTTCACCCGCCTCCCCACCTCGCTGCCCTTTGCCATTGCTATCGCAGTGTAAGAACCAGACCTTCTCAGACTGCACTTAGCTCAGAGGCTAACACTAACCAGCCGCAGATGTTTACATTGGGAGAGAAGGGACAGCAGATGCGGTCTCACTCAATAAAACTTGCATCTATCCCAACTCTCCCTTTGTCTCTCTCTCTCTCTTTTTCTGACTCTTTCTGCAAGTCCGCAAAGCACCCTGGGGAACTCTTTAGATATGTGGGTGTGACAACTTTGGCTTTATTTTTCTCATTCCCAGCTCTCTTTCTTTGTGCTGTGAGTCACCTGGGTTTCCCCTTATTAAAAAAAAAAGAAGCAAAAAACACACACAAAAAAAATGTTTTCCAGTTTTTCAAACCACTGGCTACTTAACGTTAACATTTGAAACTTGATTATTCCCAGGGCAAATGTTATTTACAAACAATGCACCAAAGTGTTTTGTGTGCAAGCCTCCCTTCATTCTGGATGAATGTTAGCACACCTGAGTTTCCTTTATTTGATGATAAAAAGAGACACAACCCAGGAGAGGAATTCCAGCAGCAAGAACAGACAAGAATATCTCCAGGTAACACTCGGCAAACAAAGTGTAGGCAGACACATCCCTGAGAAATTGGTAGATAGACAGAAATAGCAAGCTGAGAAGCATTTTGCCTCATTAGGAGATGTGATTTCTGTACTGCAATGTAGGCCAGTTTTGAGATGAAAGCGTTTTTTTCCTCTTTTTTTTTTTATCCTTGTCACTTTCTCTTTTTGAAAATGGAAAGTGTCAAAAATGTTTCCAAGAAGAAAAAGCAATCATTTTTGTTCAGAGCCATGATGTGTGGTCTGTTATGAGCTCATCTCCAGACCAACAATAACACTAAACAGCACATAAACCTCTGACATTAAACTGCTCTGTGATAACTCAGATCTTTTATTCCTTAAAAAAACACTTTGGTCTCTGTCTCAACTTACTACATTAGATGGGTAAAAAGTTGGTGGTGTGTGCTCTTAATAGAAGGCAGATTGCAGGGCTCTGTAGCAATAATGTCCTGGCAGACACAGCATGCACTTGAGTGGATCAGCCTTTTAGCCCGCAGGGCCTTTTCGGGAGGTCTGAGAAGTGGCAGGTCACTATATGGTCTAAGCCTATTTAAGAAGGAGCATACCAACACCTCCTGCAGTTCCACAGACCACGGAGGGAGCTGCTTTGAAAACAGCCCAGTAGAAAGGACCATAAAACGCCCCGAACAACCTACTGAACATGGCCCGATGAATCCAAGAACATAAAAATCATAATTTCTCAGATAAACCTTATTCTCTGTGCAAGATGGCAAACACAATCAGCAACATCTGTGAAAACAGAAACCAGGAGATTTTTTCTCTTTATTATTCTAAGAAGTTAATTCAGTCATTAAGAAAACATGGTGGCAGTGCTGTATGTCTTGTAAAAGAGAAGCCATAGGCAGAGCCTTGAATGCTATTGTTTGGTCTGATCCCTTCTAACATACTTGTTGCGGTTAGCTGGTTAAGCATGGTAGAGGCTGTGTGGATTTTCTCAGGCAGACTAACACAACAGTATCATTATGTGCCCAGTGGGAAGGAACCTTCCGTGAACCTCCAGGGTTTTTACTCTCCCACATCCAACCAAGGGGGGTGGTGGGGTAGCCTGTATGCAGGCATGCATATGAAACAAATAAAAGGGAATGAACGCAATATCTGGTCAGCTAGGCACACATGGCATTACGGAGGATGTGAGAGATCAGCGAAAATGTCTGCAGCCCCTCAACCAAAACTCTCAATAAATGAAACATCAACAAAAGAGAGACCAACGGCTTTCCCTGCACTTAACAAAAACATCTGATGTGCATTATTTCTGTCAGAGCAACAGACTGAGGATGAACAGCTCGGATTTTTCATAGAATGAGTTTCCTCTTCGCCGTATGGTTGTGCCCATTAACAAAAGGCTCTTGGGAAGGCATGAGATTTCCAAAAGATGACCAGAACCTCCAACTTTTTCTAAAGAATGAACCACAACATGGTAACATGGTGTTACAGCAGCTGAAACATGCATCTGTAGTGCCCTCTAGTGGACAAATACATTGCTACTTAGAGGGGGGAAAAAGAAAGAAAATCTTACATCAGAATAGAAATACAGCAAATGCTAGAAAAACAACCACATGCTGTATTGCTGGGTTGCATATTTTCCAGGGCTGCACGAGAGCTTTTCAAAGGTTTAGCACAGACCATAAAAACTCATGTCACTTGCTGGAAGTAGTTTGTGTAGCTGTTCTACTATTTGGACGTAGCACAAACACAGAGAGGTGTTTATCATGACGGCTAAAACGTTTGAAAAGAAAGCATATTCATCTCGTCGCTTGGTACCTTGTGTGCATCTTACGTCAGAAAAATGCATTTTGTGGTGAGTGAAAAACACAAAACAGCTTCTTAGAAGCAAAATACTTCCCAAATACATATGGCAAGTACTTGTTGACAGGACGCTGAAATAAGCTATAAACAGTTTTATAGCCCTGAGCAAAGTTTACTGGGAAAGCTCTCAGCAAATGTACTTCAATTAGAGTTACAGACCCAATTCTAAAATAGCTGGGACACTGTATAAAATGTTAATAAAAGCAGAATTCAATGATCTGCAATCTTATAATCCCACATTTTATTTACAAGAGAACATGGAAAACATACCAAATGTTTAAACTTGAGAAAATTGTAGTATTATTTCAAGAAAAAAACAAAGTCATTTTGAATTTGATGGCAGCAACATGTTTACTACTGCGTAGCATGTCCTCTTCTTTCAATAACGTAAATATCTGTAAACTGAGGAGACCAGATGCTGAGCTTTTAGGAGAGGAACATTATCCCATTCTTATCTGATACAGGATTCTAGTTGCTCAAAAGTCTTGAATCTTCCTTTTTATATTTTTCATTTTATATTCTGTCAAATCTTTCCAACTGGTGAAAGGTTTGGAATACAGACAGACCAGTTCAGCATTGAGACTCTTCTTCTGTGAAGCCATGCTGTTGTAATAGATCCAGTACATGCTTTAGCATTGTATTGCTGAAATATGCAAGGCCTTCCCTGAAAAAGACATCATCTGGATGAGAGTGTATTCCAGATGTGTTAGCTGGCAAGCCCACAGGCATTAATGCACCATCAGAGATGCAGGCTTTTAAAATGAGTGTTGATAAGAATTTCAAACTCTGTCTTTACCATACTATGTAAAGCACCTTGAGGTACAATTGATGTTGCGCAGCTGAACATGGGAGCACAATGTTCTTTAATTTAACAAATATATATTATCTCCTTCTTATTTCAGCTGATCTCTTTACGTGCTCCCACAACTAACCATCTGCCTACATCTCACCATATCCTCAGCATCTTTCTCTTTCACACCAACCATCTTCATGTCTTCCTTCACATTCATTCATCTTCTCTGTATATCTATTTTCATCCTGCCTGGGGGCTCCATAGCAAACATCCTTTCCTCAACATATCCACTATCCATCATCTGCACACATGCACAGACTTGGCCCTCTGTGTCTCCAAACTACCTTGAGGTGTCCCCCGATATACTCATCTCGATTTCTGTCCATCCTGATTAGTACCAATGTGAACTTCCTCAATTCTGCTACCCCCAGCTCCTCCTCCTGTCTTTTTGTCAGTGCCATCTCCAAACCATACATCATAGCAGGTCTTACTACCATCTTGTAAACTTTCCATTTCAGTCTTGCTGCTATCCCTTTCCCACAAATCACCTCTGACCTGCTCCACTCTACCTGCACTCTCTTCTTCACCTCTCTTCTGCATTGTGCGTTGCTTTGGATGGTTGTTCCCAGATATTTAAACTCATGCACCTTCAGTACCTCTACTCCTTGCATCTTCACCCATCTCCCTCTTATTCACACACATGTATTCTTTCTTCGTTCTAATGAGTTTCATTCCTCTACTCTCCTGAACACACCTCTATCTCTCCAGGCTCCACCTGCTTCCTACTCTTACTAAAGACCACAGTCATCTGTAAAAATGACAGTTCACTGAGACTCCTGTCAGATCTCATTTCAGCTGTCCATCACAACAGCAAAAAGGATGGGCTCACGGCAGAGCCTATCTGTCACTCATACTGCACACCTCACTATCATCTTGGTGTCCTCATATATGTTCTATACTACCCTCAAATACTTCTCTGCCACTTCTAACTTCCTCGTGCAATAACCCAGTTCATTCCTTGGCATCCTATCACGTGCTTCCATCTCATATAGATATCTCTATGCCGCTAAAAACAAGTCATTTGAACCAATTGCTTTTCTACTCTTCATCCTCTTGTAGCTTTTTCTTCAATGCAGTAATGCACCTGTAAGTTGGCAAACCAATTTACAGGTGCATTACTGCCACCTAGTGGACTGGAATGTGGACAGGAGACTAGCATCAATCATCTAATTCAAGATATTTAAATAGAAAATTGTTTAATTTCAGTAACAAATTCCTCAGTGTAAAACTGTAATTTCTGTCCTTGAATAAAGCCACTGATTATCTTCTTTTTCACTCAAACTTAATGCAAAGGATTGGTACGTGTTCAACAGGTTTTGGTGGATTACATAAATGCAGAGACCTGTTCGGTGTTTGCCTGTTCTAGAGTATGGTTTAGCCTATATGTCCTATTGTCAACAAAATAATCATTCTTCCTTTGGGTTCGTACCCTGCATTCTCTTCAAGCCTATAATGTTGTGTAGATTTCTTCCTGTGTCTGCTGTATCCCAGTAATGAAAACAGTACTGCTCATACTGCTACAAATTTTCCGCAAATGAGTCTTACGATAATTTTAACTTCTTCACAGCCGCCCTCACTTCCTCTTTACTAATCATCTGTACTTCCTGATCTGTACTGTCCTCCATCCACACACCCTTCTCTACCTCGTTTTATTCATTCATCATCAACAAATATAATATACAGTATGTTAATTCAACACAGCACCGCACGAGTTCGTGTACTGGGTATATCGTTTCACTTACCTTAATGACAAGTTTGATAGGAGCCATTCTCATGAATTCAGTTAGCGTCACTAGAGTAAGTGCACGGTGGGCAGCTATTAGCTGTATTTTTTGAAGACAGAGAGATTTATTTATTTGTTGCGCTCGTACGACAAACGGCCACCGTCAACAATTACAAAAACATAACAAGTGTTATAATAAACTAAAATAATAACATATAAGTTTGTTAGACATAAAACGTATAAGTATATTAAAGTTAACCAGGACTTCATACCGCCAACAGTTTTGAATGGTTCTTCAACAGCCGGGCGACCGGAGATGACGTCACCTTCAATTTGTAGTCCAATAACTCAGCGCATTGTGCGTGGGACGTTTCACTGTATGCCTTTTGCATAAAATAATAATAATAGAGATAGACAACTACTCTTCTACATAAAGACTCGTAAATTCGCTTTTAGTTTGTTTATTCCTTATGAAAAGCCGGTACTAGAGCCAAGCGACGGTTTCTCGAGTAGGACCGCAGTTTGGCCAAGCGCTGTGTTGCTACCATGGAAACGAGTTGTGTCTGTACAACGCCTTTGTTAATCTCTCAAACTATACACTGTCAAATTACATCTAAATATGTATGGCATCAAATGTTAGACCCTGCCATAAGGTAGTGATGGTTTTGGTTGGATTTAATAAATTAATCTGCAACTCTTCCCCGTTTTTTTAAAACACAATTTGGTCAGGCAATGCTACGAGCATCACTATTCTATCATTACTAACACTTATCACTGCCGATTTGCCGTATGTCGGTACTGTCTACCTTAACAATGTTAAATGTGCTTCGGTCATGTCTCGACTCAGCAAGAAATCTCCATCTGTTTGCACTGATATGCCACTGGACAACACTGATATTTGCAGCAAGCTTCACCTGCTGAAACAGATACTAACGTCTTGTTTCGGTCCCACAGGTAGACTGAAACAAGTTCACAACAACATTGGAGGACACGTCGTGACCACCTCTGCCTCCTCGGTTCTTCTTTCATCCGTTTCCTCCTCGCAGCCTTTTATCAATCTCATAAAAACCTCCATCCTCAACCACGTCTCTCGCTTCAGCGACTGCGGTTTGTTTGCAGCTATCTTATGCCTTTCTCTTATTGAACAAATCAAAAAGTCTGCTCTCAAGGAAAGCGTGGCTATCAGAGTGAACAACTACCTGCTCGCTCTGTGTACCAGCTACCTTCAACGAGAAGACTGTGGTTGTAGAGTGAAGCTTGACTTCTGCAGCACTCAGAACTTGATCACGTTAGCTCGCAGTGTTATCTCCAGCAAACCCGCATGTGTACTAACAGAGCCCGAGACGTTTCACATTAGCAAACTGGCTGTGCAAGCTTTTTTGCTCACCGTTCCCTGCAGCAGTCCAGGTATAGTCAGTTTTGGCAGAATAGTGACTGTTCCTGTAGAAGGTCATTCTGTGCTAAGCTCTGAAGTGCTTCCAGGTTTACTGGTGGAGATGCCTGATGGCCTGAGCGAGGAAGACAAACTTTTAAATCCCCTCAGTGTTGTGCTTTTCAGTGCATCTCTTGCTGGGGACATTTCTGAACTAGGAGATGGAGTAATTGAGGCCCACCCGGATGTAGACACAGACTCACAGATCCTGGGTCAACTTCTGGAGCTTGGCAGACAGGTGATTAACGATGAAGTGAAGCTCTTCATGTGCCAGAAGGTCATCCACCCAGTTTTGCAGCAATATCTGAGGAGTCATGGTGTCATAGTGGTAGAGAGACTGGGAATTGCTCTTATGGAGCCACTTACTCAGCTGACAGGTAAGCCTAGATGCAGGCTGCAAAATCATGCCATACATACAAGCACCAGTTAAACACCAATAGCTTTATTTGTTTTTCAATTCAGCTCACTGCACTACTGTAATAATCTATCTACTGTCCAAGTGGAATATACTTGTGTTGTATTTATGGTGGGGGTTTTTTGTTTTGTTTTTTGCATACCTTTTACAAATAGGGGCTCAACCTGTGGCCACATTACATACCACAATCCCACCCAAGACCTACGGGAAGGTGAGGGATCTCTGTATAAAGCACTTTGGATCCAAGACAATGCTGCATTTATTCCCTCTTGGGGAGTCTGCGATCTGCACAATGATCCTCTGCCACAGGAACCAGACCATGTTAAATGAGCTGAAGGTAAGATAAAGTGGGTGTTAAAGCTGTACTGTTGGCTTCTGGAGTTAATGATGGATGGAGAGACATATTGCCTGAAACAACATAGATTCCACTCATAAGACTCCCTATCGCTAAGATTTACAAATCCTGCTGTATGTTAGTTCAATAAATGAGAAATCAGTAATGGATTTTCCCACAAAGTAAATTTTTAGTGTTCGTCCTTTGAGAGATCAAATTTCTTCAGAAAATATACGTTTTTAAACACAGAGACCTGGAATACCCATTATTGTCATGTAAATGTGACAAAGTGGTCACTTCCTGATGTGTTTGTGCTAAAGGTGGTGTGCCAGACGGCAGAACATGTACTGAGGCTCACTCTAAGGGAACCATTTGCCTTGGTTGGGGGTGGCTGTACTGAGATAAACTTGGCTGCTTATGTTAGACACAAGGTGAGATCCAGTATTTGGTCTTCACTTACCCCAGTTTTATTGATTTCACATGTCTTTCACAATGACATGCCTTCATGATGCCATATTTTTTTCTTAGAGCAAGAGTGAAGTACCAGAGACTGCATCGGTATTAATGTGCTCACAGACAGAGTACCTTCTTGGTGTGGAGCTATTCTGCTGTGCTCTGGAGTCTGCAGCTCGAGCGCTGGAGCACGATGGTGGGAGTTCTTTAATTGATCTGACTCATGCTCATCGCTGGATGCTCCCTGCAGATGCCATCAAAGAAACCATGGAGGAAAGTTTGGGCTTCTGTGGCTGCGGTCTGGTACAAAGTAGCCCAAGTAAGAAGTGGATTTATCTAAGCACTAAATATTCAGATTTCTGTCCATCATCGGTGTTTAGAGACACTCGTGTGCAGCCACGTGTACTAGACTCCTTCACAGCTAAACTCAGTGCATTGCAAGTTGCTGTGGAAACTGCTAATCTTGCTCTGGATGTTAAATATATAATTCAAGATATGAATTAGCAGAACAGATTTTTTGTATAGTGTGGAATTCTGGTTTGTGGGTTTAAAATGGGGACTGAATGCTGCCTTTTTGGTTTCAAATTTAAAAAAAAAAAAAAAAAAAGTTTAGACAGTAGGGAGTCCTTTTGCATATCATTTAAAACCCATGCTGGCACTGGGGTACATTAGTACATGGGTAACTTATATATGTGAAGGTAGCATTAATGTTTAACTACGCTGAAAACGCATCTGATGTGTCTGGGGAAAAGAATCATGCTGGGCATTTATAGTAATTTGGACTGGGTAATGTGTTAGCAATAAAGAGATACCATGTTGTTGGATGGAAATGAAAATTATCAACTTGCAGAGGGCTGAATTCAAAGACACCCCATAAATAAAAATGAAACATTGATACTTCAGGCTAGTCCATTTTGCAGAAATGTCATTAAAGCAACTCAAAATACTAGTAAGTAGTTTGTGTGGCCCCCACATGCATGCCTGACAACATCTGCATATGCCCTTAATGAGATGACGGATGGTGTCGGGCAAGAGTGGGTGCCAGTCAGCAACATCAGTTACTTTGTTCTCTAGGAACTCTGTCATAAAACGCTGTGTGGCAAAACAAAACAGGAGCACCAGGAGTCCAAAAACAACACGTGCACATAAAACACCGGCGCACAAATAACAGTTCAATAGTAAGTCAGGGGGCCGATCGTGCAAACGGCAACGGTGGCAACCGAGAAACAGTTCAGGGGGCCGACCCGGAGGTCGCCAGCACAAAAGTTCATAAGTCAAACAGTCGGGGGCGACCAGGTGGGTGGCACAGGTGACAGAGCCGGGCTCACCAGAACCCCCAGTGGACGAGGCGGGTGGCGGCGTGGGAGCCGCGGAGTGCTGGATGGACTCATCCGAGCTTCCAGCAGGAGCCGATGTAGAACCAGAGGGTATTGGGACCCCTGGCTGAATGTTAAGCTGACCAGAAGACTGAACCGCTACAAGGGACTGGGCTAATGGTTCAGGTGTGAGCTGGGCTACTGGAGACACGGGGAGCTGAGCTACTAATGGTGGTGAAGTAGATGACTGCACGGGAACTGAGGGCGTCTGCACTGGCACAGGGGACTGAACTGATGTCTGTAGTAACGGTGGTGGTGAGAGTGGAGTGGGTGGTGGAGTTGATGACTTCACAGGAGAATGAACTAGGGGTGACTGCACAGGAAACTGAGCTAGAGGTAGTAGTGACGGTTGGGGAGAAAGTGGAGCTGGTGGTTGAGTGGATGACTGCACTGGGGACACGGGAGACTGCACTGGGGACACGGGAGACTGCACTGGGGACAGCTGAGCTGCAGGAAACTGAACCGGGAACTGCAGTGACGGTTGTGGTGGAGGTGTAACGGGTGGAGGAGTGGCTGAATTGGCTGTGGGCCGGGCGGCTACTGGCTCAGCTACAGAGTGCATTAATGGCAGGGCTATAGGTTGAATGACTGAATGAGTAGCAGCCTGACTGGCTGAGTGTAGTGATGGTTGTGGTGGAAGAGAAACAGGTGGTAGTGTGGATGATGGAGCTAAGGGCGACTGAGTGGCAGACCAAACTGAGGGAGACTGAAGTGCTACGGGGAACTGAACTGGTGGCGACGCAGGAGACTGAGCTCGGAACTGACTAGGCACATGAGCAAAGGACTGAACGGGCAAAGGATTGCACAAGTGGCCGAACTAAAGGTTGAATCGAACAATGAATAGCAGACTGGGCTAAAGGCAATGTAGGAGGCTGGAGTGATAGCTGAGGTGAGAATGGCGCTTCAGTAGGCCGGGCAGCTAAGTGAGCTTCACTTTGGGCTAGAGCAGTCTCAGGAAAAACAGTCTTGAAGGTATTTATTTCCTGCTCTGAGTAAGCCAAGAAACAGTCAATAATCACAGGCTGAGTGGATTCTGTTGTCTCCAGGGGTCCAGATTCAGCTGAAATTACAACATCAGCTTCTGGGGAAGCCTTGGAGAGCGTAGCAGTCTCAGGAATTGCCATAGAATCGGTCCTTGTGGGCGCAAACCTAGAGCTCTCTTTCGCAGTGCTCGTTATTTTGTCTTCAGGCTCAACGGAAACACAAATTTTTAACCCCCGGGGACCTGAAAAATGCAGCTTCTGGAAAAACAGTCTCGGGATTAATAATCTGAGCTAGCAGACACGGAGTTAATTAGTCCAGGCTCAGATGGAACAGAATTACCACAGTTCTTTGCATTGTTATGGCTAGGGGGAGCATGAGGAGAACAGTCTTTTAGATCACCCAAATGGGAAATTTTGGTTTCAAAGGAAACAGTCTTTTTCTTCTCAGCCATAACATAATCAGACCTTGGGCCTTCAGACCCAGTAAACTGTTCAGTATCACTTACACTCACCAAAGGCGTTTGCTCTGGTGAAGTCCTGGGTTCCGTCCGTGGCAGTTTTCGCTGCCTGCGCTGCCGCCGCTTCCCCCTGGAAATGGGAGCGGAGATAGTGGTGGTTGCTGGTAATGGCAGAGAGGTAGAATCTGACTCCTCCTCTGACCATATTGCTGCGAGAAAGGAGGCAGGTGAGCGGTGGTCCGAGCTGGACGTGGATGGTGAAGAATTCTGCGGCAGCGGCGTGGAAACCCCCTTGCGCTTTAATGGCCGCTGCTGCATTGCAGAGAGCTCCATCTGCTGCTGCAGCGGTGGTGGTTTCGGTGCTGAATACCGGGAGTGGGCGAGAATAGCTAACTCTCGGGCTTGCAGTACCTCCCGGGCCTCGCGCACCATGTTTACTGAGTCCATAAATCCTCTGAGTTGACCAAAGTGGGGGTTCCTCTCGAGGATGGCTTCAATGGCTTCAATGGCTTTGATTCCTACAGTCACGGCCCGAACATCATCAGTGTGGGAAAGCCGCTCTACCAGACCTTGGATGCGGGCCAAATCAATTTCCCGGGCGGAGCCTGCTGAGTCCATGTCTGGTCATGTCGTTCTGTCATAAAACGCTGTGTGGCAGGCAGGAGATGAGGACTCAAAATGCAGGACTCACAGACTCGAAGGATAAACTCAGAACCACAGCTTTATTTGCTGGTCACAGAAAAACGAGCATACAAAGTAAACTATACTGGGGAATAACACACTAAACACAGGGCGATCCACACGGCATGAGGGACGACGCGACACTGACTCAGAGAAACACAGGGTTTAAATACACTGGGAAGTAATGAGGGGAATGAGCCACAGAAGGCGAGCACAGCTGGGGGAAATCAGAACTGACGAGACAAGGAAGCATAAACTGAACACATTAGCTGTGTCCCAAAACGTCGGCTGCATCCT